TGATTCTAGAACAAATATCGATGACAATAATTTCGGGTAATTACTTTCACGTCTATTTTGGCGAACACTTGGTCCCGATGAAAAAAAAAGAAAAAAAAAAAAAAGAAAAAATAAAAAAAAGACAAAAAAAAAGAAAGAAAAATAAAAAGAAAATGGCGCATCTTGAAATGAAACAGGAACGTGTGTATATTTTTTAAAAGTTATTCGATCGTGACGCCGTTGAATCTCGAAATGTACCGATTTTTGAATAACCGAAGTCTCATACAAGGGATTTTTGATATTTTTCTGGACGTATAAAGACGATTTTTCTTGTGTCGAACGGTTGTGTCGATCGTAGGTGACGTGAAAGTAAAGTTGGTGTTAATGGTGCGACGATTCTTTCTCTCTCTGTCTCTCTCTCTCTTTTTTCTTAAATTGAGAATCACGGGGAAGAAACGACGTAGTTTTTAGATTTAATCCACCCTTAGGATTCCCAATTATTTTGATTATCAAATATCGAGAGAGTATTGGAAAATTTTTTTAATTAGAATTTCAGTAACGAATAAATAATTGCAATATAACTATAAATATTTTTCTTTCTTCAAGAAATTATAAACGATATGATAAAATTCATTATTTATTATAATAGTGGAAATTATGTAGCGAAAAGAATTTCATAACGTAATTTTAATAACACAAGTACAAAATAATCTTTTAAAATAACTTATATAATAACTAACTTATAACATGAATTGATATAATAAGTGTCTATTAAGAAAGAAACACGTGAAAATATACTAGTCACTGCTATAGAAATAATTTTTGTAGTACGTAACAATTCAATATATAATCTATCATTGTATTCTAACGAATAGTTAGAAACAAACTATTTAATATGTTGATAAAAGAGAGAAATTTTTAAATTAAAAAAAAATTCGTAATCCTTCCACATAATAAAAAAAAAAAAGAAAGAAAAAAAAAAGAAATAGAAAATCAGGAGATCGCACCATTTTAACGCCAACTTTATTAATTTTCTGAAATTTTCTTCTCGCTCATAGAGCCTCTCACGCAAACAAATTCCCTCATTACATATAATAAACTTTCGGTTGTGTATTAAAAACTATTATTACCAGTGGATTATTAATTAATACAAAATGAATAACGATTAAACGAAATTATTCGATCCTCTCTTTTCAATCATAACTCTCTGTAATAAATCGTATTCGTCGAGAAAAGAAGAAAAATTCATTCGAAAACTCTTCAACTATAACTATAACTATATACATATATATATATACACGAATATATTTATGAGCTTATAGCAATTTAAAATAATATCGACAAGAAAACATCGATAGATCATTGAATAGATAGTATCAGTAGCTAGATCTATCTTTTCTTGATGTATCCTCCACGGATTTGATTCTTGATATCTCTCTATAGTTGATAAAGAAAAAAAAAGAAAAAAAAAAGATGCAACACACACACACGTACACCAGAAAAAACAATTCGTATTATCTTTATCTCTGAATCGATTTTATTCGAAGCTATACTTGTATAATCTTTAAAAAAGGAAAAAAGAAAAAAAAATATATATATATATACAGTGCGTAAACTCAGCGCGAGGAAATAAAATATAGATTTTTCTACATTTTATTATTGCGACTGATCGATGTTAAAAAATAACTAACACGACTGCAATTTCCCGCAATTTTAAAAGTCGTCGAACGATTTGTTGCACGACGCGATTTACAAATATTATATATATATATATGAATATACATAAGTATACACATGAATGTAGCTGTTATATAACGAAAAAAAAATTACTTTTTCTCGGGACTGACAAAAAATTTCGGTATCCACTAGACGGTCAATTGAGAACACGATGTAAATGTGCACGAGCCGTAGTCGTATAGCAGAATCTTCTTTTCTCTATTTGTAATTCTATTAAAGAGGAAGAAAGGAAAAAAAAAAAGAAAAAAAGAGAGTGAGAGTGTCGTGCGAGACGTATTTCCTCGAGATTTTTTCAAACTTTGCCTAATCAATTTCTTACCAAATGTCCACTTCGAGCCCGTCGACAAGCGTAATATTATTAATCGCGACAAGTGGTGAATAACAATTACGTGAAACTCAAAAATTTTTTTTTTTAAACAGAAAAAAAGTACTTTTAATTTTTTAAAAAATTTTCGAGAATAAAATTATAGTTCGTATTCGAAAAGTTAATTACAAATTATTCTTTCATTTTACACAAACAATGTGTATTCAAATATATTTCCAATGACAATCCAACGAAAAGCGTTCGCTCTAAATACGTGATTTAAAATAGAATCGAAGAGTACACGTCGATTGTTTTCACCCCAAGTCATGTAAATCGATCTTCCATTTCGAAAAACAAAAAAAAAAAGTAAATCATGTTTCGACGATTTTTCGAGACAAAGAATCTTTTCTCTCTTAATATCTACATTAATATATATACATGTCCGAGCAAAGTGTCCTAGTCTTATATCTCGTGAGTGAATCTTACATTGACAAAATACAAGCGAATTTTCGATCGTTAAGAGGCGGATGATGAATAGATCGAATTATTGGAGGGATGGAATCACGAATTCGTAAAATCGATTCATTGCATTCTGAATTGTTTCCAAAAGTTTTCAGATCATTTGGAACATTGTGAATGATAGATATGCAGATTAAGCAGACCTTTTAATAATTTAAATTTTAATTAGATGATTGATCATGATTGGTCATCAATCAATTATCAATGATTGGTCATATAAAAGTTGTATAATTATATTATATTTATACTTTAATAAATATAATTACATTATTTCTACTTTTTTATTAACTTCAAATAAATTAAATTATTATAATTATATCATCCTTTAGTTTGCGTCTGTATAATCTGCAATTATAAATCAATCATTAACATTTATTTCGCGCGAATAAAAATATTCCATATTTCAGATACATCAAAAAAATCGAGCATTTCCAATTAATTTCCTCCAATTGTCTTCAATAATTCATCACATCGTAAACATAGCCGCGAAACATGACTCAATTTGAGAAAAAAAAATTTCTATTGCAATCTAAAAATGCTCGTAATGTTGTATTAACATTGAGCCGAAAGAAACAGCTTCCAACGTAAAATTGCATGGCAAGAAATCAAATGCCATCAAGAGACGAAAAAAGGAAAAAAATAAGCATTGTATCATTTCTGTCGCTATTTCTTTCTCTTCTCTTCGTTCGACTGTTCAACGTGGGGCTGTGATTGTCACCAAAAAAAAAAACAAAAAAACAAAAAGAACCTTAAATAGAAAAAAAAAATTGAAAAAAAAAAAAAGAAAAGTAAAATGGCCGTAGCACGATGCGGGGTAAATTTTTTCAAAATGGTCGTATATTCATTTTTACTCTTTCTTTCTCGACATACTTTCACGATAGATAAGATCGTTCAGGGATGACGAAAGTTTACGATCCGCATTTCCGCGTGATTTCGTCTGAACAAACGCCTTCGTAGTTCATACACGGTCTTCCCATCGATGCTTAAACGTTTCCTTGTTGAAAGATTAATTTGTAATAAGGAAGCGGTAAATAAAAAAAAAAAGACGACGATGAAATTTCTAATTGTGAATCTTTTTAAAGAAAGATGGTTTGTTTTATTCGTGGTAGGTTTTAATGCTTCGAATTATTGCGTGTTAGATATATGTGTAATGATTGCGAGAGAGAGAAATTGAGAGAAAATGAGAATGAGAGAGAGAGAGAGAGAGAGAGAGAAGGAGTGTGTTGAAAAAGAAAAAAAATAACGCTTACCTACCTACGATAATTTATTACCGACCGTTTTATTTGTATCGACGATATATGACGAAAAGTATCGATCGTAGACGAATTTAGCGTAGATAGGTTTCGTACTTCGTATTTATTGAACATTACTAAATCCATTATATATCAAGTATCTCATGTATTGGAGCCGAAGAGGACAATTGAAAATAAATAATTGTAACCAAACGTGATGATTCTTTTTATTTTTCCTTTGAGAGACTGCAACAAATAGTATTTTTTAATTGAAATTATATTTTGTATAGAGAATATTAATCTGTGTTAACTAATAAATTAAGCTTTTAAAAAAAAATAAATAAATAAACTTATAGATTCTTTATGAATCGATTTATAAAAAAAATTAATAAAATGCTTTAAATCTTAAAACTATTTAGCTTTTATTGGAAATGTTTTTTTTTAATATTATTACGATTGAAAGCAGCTTCTGCTAAAAAACAAATAAAAAAAAAAATGTAAAAAATGGCGCTAAATTTCAAATCTTATCTTAGTTTTAAATTAGTATATCCATTGCTCAAGAGATGGTGCTGATTGTCAATTCTTATTCTATCTCTATCTTTCTCTCATTATTTTCTCTCTTTATCTTTTTATGTTTTATTTGCGACTCTGGAGATGGCGCTGATTTCACAATTTTTATCCTATTTATGTCTTTCTCTCATTATTTGCTCTCTGTCTGCATACATTTCATTCGCGGCATTTTAGAGAAGATTTAATTCTGTAAAATTAAAATATTCAAAATATACGCCATATAAAACGTACCTTATACAAATACTGTACGAAATTCTTACATATTTGAAGTTATTAAAATATTTAAAGGTAACTATAAATTTGGGGAAATAATTTGACGATCGTTATTTTGTTTCATTCAAATGTCAAATGACATTTTGTTAAATTTTCTGGTAATGACGGAACGACAGATAAATTTTCTGCTGATATTAATGACAATTTGGTTGATGCACGAAACTGCTAGAATCTTGAACAACATGAAATGAAGTATTGGTATAATATTAAAAAAAAAATCCTGATTTTAGATAAAACAAAATTAAATATCATTGATTATACAATACAAAATTAAGATATATATCGTTATTCTTAAAAAACGATAATGGATGAATTTTATAAAAATATCTCGCAACAATACGGTGTAATAAAATATTATAGTGATATAGTTCCTTTCCTAAGAAAATTTAAAATGATTCCTTTCTGAAATTGAATCCAAACTGATCACACTTGTAACGTAAAATTCTTGCCAATTGTGGTGGACCACAATAAAAAATCGTTACTTTGCCTTTCTTCTGATCCTGAAGATGTTTGAACACCTTATCCCAATTTGGTCGGCCAGCATTCGTCCGTGTCTTCAAACCTGTTATAAGATCCCGTTTTTCCTGAAAGATTATCCTCATGGAATAATACAATTCTTCATTGCAAGATCATCATTTTATTTATTATTATTTCTGAGTCATAAAATCTTGAAGAAAAATTTTTTTCATAGAAGAAATAAAAAATGAAATTTATTATTTGTACCATTTGATGAACCAAATCCATAGCCAATTGCAAAGTTACAGCTTTCATGTCACTTTTTTGTAAAGCACTGGTGATATACATATGCATCTCAAGAAAACGTTCCATGGCGTCACCTAATTCTGCTTGTTCCATTTCCAATTGAGATAATAAATTTACAAACCATTCGAAGGATCGTTGGTCTCTGTTGATCCAAAAGAAATCAACCTGAAAACAAATGTTAAATATTGTATTTATATAATATTAATTACTAATTATTTTATATATACTAATTATTATTATTATTAATAGATTATACATATTATTATTAATAGATTATATATTTGTATTATACATAAAAATTTGATTGATATATATAATGAACAAATATATTAAATGAAGAATTGAAATTTTAAATAGACATTTCATTTATGTACATTTCATTTTTCTAATAACAAATAAATGTCTTTTTCTATGCATAAAATTAAATGATTTATTATTAAATAAAAATTTATATATATGCCTTTCGAAGATGCATCACAGTAGGAGGAATTTCACTAGCCCACGAGAATTTGCATTTTGGACAAGTATGCCTAGCTTTCCAATAACGATGCATGATAGACTGTAATATGGAAGCAAAAGGTGTGACTCCGATTCCAGTTGCAATTAAAACTGCGTGTTGAGCTTGAAATATGTGGCTTGAAGGAGCTCCGTATGGTCCATCCAAGAAAATCTAAATAAATTGTCTATTAATCTAAATATTATTTTTTATTAATTAGATTATTATTAATTATTCTTAAATAATTAAATAAGAAATGATCAAGAGAATATCGTGATTTCAGAATAAAAATTTCGCATTTATTTAGGCACCTCCAATGGTTTTCCAATAGTATAGTTCAATGAATGAGAAATTGAGTCAAACTCAATATCGTTATGGTTCCTTTTTGAATTTTCTTCGAATTTCATTTGCAATCTACCCTCTTCTGCTGCTGATTGAATCGTGTTTAAATTATTGGACTGTTTTCTTCTGTATTCTTGTGTTGCTGTTTAATTAAAAACAAAATTCGATTAATTTGAAAAAATTATATGCAGACAAGTGTTTCATATTTTTATGTTTAAAAATTTATAAATTCTTTAAGCTTACTATTTTTGTCGCCTGATTCCAATTCATACTTTTCCAAACTTGGAGTCTTGAAAGCAATTATAGTGGGTTTATTCCTCATGTATCGAAAACTTTGCGCCAATCCTTTATTCTGAGGACTTGAATAGATTTCATTTAAGGATTTCAAACGTGCATCGCGTATCTGACGTTCGTTGAAATTTCTCTCTGATTCTGATCTTGTATAATCACGAAGTCTATCAAGCAAATAAAAAATGGAATGTTATAAAATTATTTTTCTAAATAATTACAAAAATAATGTTACATTCTAATACAAATATAATACAATATGTATAAAATTATAGATAATTTATAATTAAATTACGCAATTAATCGATCATTTTTCTTTTTCCCTAGCATATCAGGTACAGACACAGATTTCTCCAAAGGCATCTTACTAACGAGCAATGAATGAAGCTTCCGGTTGTTCGACATTTTTTTAACATCCGTTATACCTGTACATATACAGAAAATATCAAAAAATATCAAAATGCTAGATAAAATGCTAAGATAAATAAATAAGATAATAAATAATAAGATAAATAAATAATAAAAGATAGAATAATTTAATAATAATTTAAAAAGCAAAGGAATTTAAAAATACCAATTTTGAGACTCAAGTAATTTTAAAAAATTTGAATAAATTACCAATTGCAGATTGAGGCGATTGTATTATTTTTTCATCATCAGAAACAAATACAGGATTATCAAAACTACGATGATTCCCACTTGGAATGGGTGAAAGAAATTTCTCATTCACTTTTCCATTCATGGATCTGGAATTGAAAAAAAAAAAGTAAGACTAATATAGATTATTATACAAGCACATGTTATTCAGTCTTTTTTTCATCTACTATAAATATTGAATAAAATAATAAAATATCATTTGAATTAAAATTCTATGTCTGTTCTATTTTATTCATATGATAGCAAATTATACTTTTATTTCGTAAATTAATATTCTGCAAATTAATTAAAATGAATTAATTATCACGTTATCGCAAACAAAACTCACATTAATTCAGAAATGTTTGGATTACTGCGATTCTCAATTGGAAATATATTATCCCTTTGAAGTTTCATCTGCTCCTTTTCAAAGTATGAGTAAAGACTATTGGTCCATTCGCCCACTGCTCGAATGTGAAGCCATATATAATCTATTAAAATAAAATAAAAAAAAAAAATTTGAAATATTATTCTAGCTTGAAGTTTTCTGAAATATCATAAGTTTTCTGAAAATAAAAAATTTTCTTCTTTTCCTCTTATGTAGTTTTAATTGCGAGCTTATTATCAACATTAATAAATTAATTATTTGAACCTTCTTGTTCTGGAGCGCTGCTAATAGTGAATGGATGCCATTCGTAACGAGCTATGACAGGAATATTCACAAAAACGTAATCACCGGGATGAAAAACGAAATGTGGAGGCCTCTTGATAACCAAATGCGTGACTTTCGACGGTAGAAGAAGACCTGAGCTTATATACGTTTTTCCTAATTGTGAACGAGACCAGGCAATTCTACGTATTCTTTCCAACAAATATATTGAGCCTGGTCCTATGAACCATTTCCAAAAATTCGGTGCGTGTAATATGACTAATATCCAGTATGGTACGTACAACAAATGTGACCAGTAAAATATCTGTAAAATATTAATAAATTAGAGAATTAAAAAAATTGAAACGAAGGTAAATAACAATATATAATTCTAAAATATTTTAAAACATTGATAAACAAAAGATTAAATTTAACATGCAAATTGTCAAAGTGTACGTATTTTTTTTAATGTAATAATAATTGCAATTGACGACAATTAAAAATTAAAAATTATTTATAACCTCGAAACATCCACCACGTCGAACAAACGACATCGAACATATCATTATTATAAGAAAAAGAATGACAAGAATGAATCCAGTCGGATTTGCATAGCCTCTTACGAGTCCAAACAGAGCAGGTCGACTCGTCAATAACCATTCGGATAATGTATAATTATTGTGATTAAGAATTTCATCATAAATAACAATAGTACCTAGAAAATGTTGAATCTTGAGAAAGATTTAAAAGAAAAGAGAAATCTTTGCCTTTATCTTGCATGCATCGTACCAAAATTAAGAAGATGCATCAACGTGTGAACTATGCTGAAGATACAGATTAAACCTCCAGTCACTTTGTGCAGATAAATATGTTGATCCAATGGCAATACAGAATTGAAACCGTGAGTTCGTAGAAAGGTGATACATTGACGCAACATAAGAATCAGGATGAAGCTGCAGTTGAAATTCAAGCACTGACCTGTATTAAAAATATATCTTCTTCTGATTGTTACATTTGCTACAACTTGGAATTGCATGCAACATAATCTGTTTAATTCATATGTACAATTTTTATATAAATTCATTTAATTCAATTTGTATAAAATGATCTTTACCACAGGCACGAGCAAGCATAACATAACCATTGGACTTTCTGTACTCGTAGAGTCTCGACACGAATAAAGACACATTGATCAGGATAAAGATCGAGATGAAAACGATGTAAACGTAATTGTTCTTCATGTATGGCTTCGTCAATTGATAAGGACGCAACGAAGCGAGGAATTGCAAGCGTGATTTTCTCTTCGATTCTGGTTTTGGTGGTACTAGCCATCGATCGATACTAAGTTAAATAAATAAATAAATATTTCCTAATTAATAGCATGAGAGCATAACGATGAAATATTATCTACCTGATTGAAAGATTCTCTAAAAGTCCTTCGTGTTTCTCTAATTGTTTCTTCAAAGCTTCGAAAGTAATGGCACCTCGATTAGATTGATCAGCGTCATCGAACAAAGCCATGGTTAATTCCTCGATTTGTTCCTCGCTAAATCGTATTCCATTTTCCTCCAAACAAGCTCTCATCACGTGTTCCAACTCGCGAAGTTGTATCAATCCATCGCCTTTCCATATAAAATAAACACATTTTGAATAAATTTTTAATTGGGATAATAATAAAAAACAATAATTTTAATCAACCATTTCAGATGTTATTTTTATTTATACCATCAATGTCGTAAACCTTGAACAAGAATTTTATCTTGTCGTCAGGACTTTTTCCTGCAAACTGATGCATAGCATCGACGAACTCCTGAAGAGATATCGTTCCAGAATTATCCTTGTCGAAAATTTGGAACACTCTGTCGGTGAAGAACGGCTGAGGAAATAATATTTTTTTTTTATTAAAATTTTAAGATATATTTTAAAGATAATATTCATTCAAAGTTTGATTCAAAATTCCAAGAAAGAAATAAAAATGATATTGCAAATTCGAAAATGAAAAATACTTATGCCTTCTGCCTACGTTCTTCGAAGTGACGATTTTGTTGAATTCTTCGCGCCTAATTTCTTTCTCGTTGCCCACCGTCTGTTTGAAGATCTTTTCCAGCCATTCCAGACTTCGCTTATCGAATCCAGCGAGCGGCCTTTGAAATTTTACAAAAAGTTAACGAATTTTTATCAAATATCTTATAAACTTTATTAAAAAAAAAAAGAACAATAAGAATTGTTAATTCATTCTACGAGAATATTCTTCTACATTTGCATCATCGTAAAGAAAAATGAAGAATAAAATAAACACAAGCAATATTATCTAAGTAGCTAGAATTACAACAATGCAGACGTGTCCTTGATATACGTGGAGTATAAGTAGTATAAGTATGTTCTAATCAGACGTGAAACATACACGAATTAGATTTACATTTAGATTTATTAGAGTAGCATTATTATTATTAAATTTGGATTTTTTTTTTAATAAAATGGCAGAAAATTCAAAGCTTGAAAAATCCTAAAAATATCATATATCTATTTTTCATTTATTTCAAGGAAAAGAATAAGACAAAATAATCCTTATTCGAAGCATACCAAATTCATCATTAATTAAAATATTTTATCTATATATTTTTTTATTTATTTTTCAAGATATTATTGCCATAGACATGTGTCACAAAGGAAGTTATACTTTTCGAAACTTATGTTTCGAAATGTTAAATAGAACATTTTAATTAAAGTGAAGTTGCGCATCACTGATATTACCTATTGTCTTGATTTGTCACTGAAATAGAGGTGAAATAGAGATGAAATACATAAACAAATAAGGAAACAACGAAAGTCTGACTTGGCAACAAGCAGAGTGGAAAAGAATTTTGAAATATTTTGTCGACAGTCAATATTATTGAAGACACGTGTATAGAATCGACATGTGTAGATCTTTGCTATTTTTACTTTATAAACTTAAAGTGAACAAGTTTCGTTTATTTTTTTAATTTGATTTATATCAGAATCAAGATTGTTTTATTTTACTATCATTTCTAATATTTTAATATTATGTGTTTAATCATGAAAGTGGATTAAAATGCGAGAATACAAGAACAACAGAACTTTGAGAAGATAAATCGATCTCTGCAGAAGTAATTAATCACAACTTCAAACTATTTTAAGTGATTTAAATATTTCTCCATTTTTGAGGAAAAAGTTCGATTAAAAAATAATTGAGGAATAAATGTACAATATTCTTCTCAAAAAGAACGAAAAATTAAAGAACAAATAAAATTATCAAATTTTTGTTCACAAAAACAAATTTAGAGATAAATTTACCAAAAAAAAAAATTCAAAAAATACACTTCCTAGACAATTAACAAAATAATATTGCTGTGTTCTCCAAAAAATATTTTGAGATTGTTACATGAAAATATATGATATTCAATGGAATCGAAATAAGTAAAAATTACTATTCATATTATTTATAGAATTAATGTCAAAAATTAACAATATTCAATAAATGAAATTGAAAAAATTGATTTTAAAATTTTGATGATGTACGTACACGATAATCGACATTTTGTTACGAAGGCATCAATGTTTCTTCGCTACTAAATTTCACTGGAATTGGATTTTGCGTGAATATAAAAAAAAAATCTGTATTTGCTCATATCGCATTTTTTCGATATAATTGCAAACATCTTAGAAAGTATCCACGTTGAATTTAAATTGAGAAGAAAGAAGAATATAATTGATTTCGAATATTTTTTGAAATATTTAAAATGTTTGAGATAGAAGAGAAATATTTATCAAAATGGAAGAAAAAAAAAGAGAAATACTCTTTTGAGATGATGAAGAGAAAAGAAAAAATAGAAGATGCAGGCAATTTTTTCCAAGTTTTCAAAATGTTTGGAGTAAGAAAAAGAAGAAGAAATATCAGATGAAGAATAGGGAAAAGGAAGAAAAAAAGATACGATAAAGAAAAATTATCAAAAATAAAGCTTCAAATTTTCTTTCTTTCTTTTCGATTTATGGAACACCCAGTATATCCCTTTAATATTTACGATTTTACTATTCGAAGATCATTTGTAGACTGATTTTCTATTTCTAACCAATCCCTATTAAGAATTATAAAGAAACGTTTTGAAATTCTTTATCTTCGCAACTGGCGAGGCAAACAATGTTGTATCGGAAAATATCATGAAAATGAATTAAGTGATATCCAAAAATAGAGAAATAATTCGAAATGTAGATTCTTTAATTAACAAGAATAAATAATGCGACATTGAAAAATAGAAATAGAAATTAGGAAAAATATCCAAGAAAAAAGTAACAGAACATAATGAACAATTAACAACCAACGACGAGCCATTTAAAGGATTCAAAGCATTCTTTTTTTATTTCAAAGAAGATCCTTGAGCTATCATCGAGAAGTTGATGACAATTTTTCGAGAACAAGACATCCTCCAACATTATAAATCTGTAAGTTTTCATACATATTTTATGCATCTTCATTTTTAATTTTATTTTCAAATAATTATTATTTACAGATGTTACTTTACTTAGAAGATATAATGATTGTAATGATGAATTCAACAAGTATCTAGAAATCAAAAAGATATTCAATACAAGCATTTTTCTGTGACAATGATTTATATGTTATATATGTTAATATTCTAAATACTAACGAGACTTTTTAATATTTAATTTTTTGACATTTAAAACAATATGTAATTTTAAATATAAATTTGAGAAACACGAAAGATGATAACCTTCAAGAATAAAGACAAAATAGAATGGAAAATAAATAGAATTTTCTTATCTCTATAAATTAGAAGTCTATTTTGTAATTATTCGTTCCTTATATCGTTTTTATAAAAATTGAAAAAGTCGCAAAATAATCATTTATAGATAAAAATAAGTTAATAAAATTGTTATTAGGTAAAATTACAATATTAAAATTACCTTGTATCGCTGATGTTTGAGAGGAATTCCATGATTTGAAAGGATGTGATGTATCCCAAATTTTCTTCATCGATTCGTCGAAATAATTTATCTACAATCTGTAACATAGATATGCAAATAATTAAATATAAAAATTGTAAATGTAATTTATTCGAAATGAACATTAATGAATCTTTTATAATTTTTAGAAAAAAAAAATAATATAATTAATATATCGAGTTACCTCTTTGGTAGAAAATATTTGTTGAAATTTCTCAAAAGTTACTGGATTATCACAGCATATGGAATAGGCAACATTCTCGAATTGAATGATGAGATCATTTGATTTTTCATTTCTATTAAAATAAAATAGTTTATTTATTTTAACATAGCATTTATTTATAAATTTTTAAAATAATCATAAAGTATTAATTAATTCTTACTTCAATCTTCCCTTTAAAAATTCGATCCATTCATCTTGCGTCAATATTCTGTCTCCATTTCGATCGAATAACGAGAATAACTTTTCCATCAACGTCTGAAATTTATTTCATTCTTACGATTAGAAAAAAAATACTAAATATATAAAAGGATAATTTAAAATCTAAATTTTAAATACTCAAAATTCGGACATCCATTTAAATATCAATAATATTTGAACTTAAATAACCCAAAATTCCAAATAATCAAAATTTGTAATAATAATATTTCGATCTAAATTAAATGATTTAAAATTCCGAGTATTCAAAATTTAGATATCCATAAATCTTAACAATAATAATCACCACTAATAATTCTATTATTAGTAATACGAAATATCTTTTTCTCTATCAATAATCGTGATTGAGAATTAGCAACGCGTTAAACGATCTTTTGTCTCATTTCTGACTCGAAAGAAACTTAAAAATTATCATCGAAAAGAAGTTAATCAATCACACGACAAGCACGACGAAATAACGAGCGTCGAACATGCTGGAGGCGTGAAGGCTGTTTGGCCGGGGGCAATCGGCCACCTTGATCGAGATCTCTACCCGATCTCGATGGATCTTGCCGTTTCCTTTCGATCCTCGGGCTATCCTTCTTCCTCGAACAATAATGTATCCTTCGATATTAAATCATTCCTCTCCTCGATAACGATGTTATTCGCTTTTGAAAACGCGATGATTCCCTTGTCTTAATTCCCATCATTTTCTCACCGTTACTGTTTTCATTGAGTTGTTCTATGAATTTCTTTTTCGATCAAATGATTCATTACTGATTTACTGATGATATTTTTAATTTTTTTCGGATTTCGATCTGTTTAAATAATAAAGACATTATCTGTGTATCGCGATTATTTACGAAATATTTTCAGATATATTTGAATGTATTAAGCAGAAATACGTTCGTGAGTAAAAATTGTTTTTGAATTTGTATATTCTTTTTATATACAAATATTTGCAATTATAATATTCGTATTCTGATACGAATATAACGTAATGTTCATGTATTACATAGTATATACGAATGAATGTAGGATGAAAATATTGTATACAAATATTTCGAGTGAAAAAAGAAAGGAACACTGCTTTGGCCTTGACCTTTTTAATAAAGATTAATATAGAATAAGATATTTCATTCATTGGAAACGGAATTAAAATGAAGTTCTTTCATATATTTCCAACAGTGACACTCTTAAAAAAATTATATAATCGCGTTTTATTAATTTACATAAAGAGGACATTGTTGAAACAAAAATAAAATATAAACAGAAAAATAGAATAAAGAGGGGAAAAAAAGCAAAATTTCAATAAAAATATTCCAATATATTAATGAATTTTTAATGAATCTATACAAATAAATAATAATTTTAAGCAAAAAAATTAATTTCTTTCCTTGTTTAAATAATATTTATTTATTATTTTATATAAATGACAAAAATAAAAATTTCAATAAATATCCCTCTTTAATTAATTTGATTATTGAAAACAAAAATATTCACCGAATCTTGCAAAAGTTGTTTAAACGCTTCTCTGTTGTAACGAGCCACGCCATTCACCCCAATTATATGAGAACATTCTTCCAACATCGCTCTTCTTCTTTGAACCAAACAGTCTTTTTCCATACATGTAACTTCATTTTCCATTTTTTTTTTTTAATCTTTGTCAAAACTTCTATTATAATTAACAAATAATTCGACCATCAAAAAGAAAAAGAAATTAATATCACTAAAACAATTCACAAAAAGTTCATTTTAATTGTACGAAAAAAATATTCACTTCAAATTTCTTCATCGAACTCTTAATATTTCGGAGAAAACTAATCAAATATTCTTCCATATAAATTTATTTTTCTTGCCACATATCCATAATAAAAATTTCTTTATTAGTAATACTTCATGGAAAATTTTTCTAGAAAAAAAACGACAATTTTTCAGTTTCTAAAACAGTATAAAATTTTAAATAATTAATCTTTATTTAGTGTTAAATTAATTAATATTTTTATTAATTCGAAAAAAGAAAACAGATTATTCGTACGATCAGGGTTTACAACACAATAAACGAATCGATCGGCCGACAGACCCAAACTAACGAACGAAAATCGGTTGATATCGACGAATCCTGCGAGATCCATGGCTTCAGATTCACAATTCTCAGAGGAGAGGGATGCCTTTCGATTTCAATAAAGACCATACGTTCAAACACGAAGAAACAGGCAAACGTATGTTACAATACAAACAAACTAACCTTTCACTTCTTCGTGAGTCATCGCTTCTTATTTCGTCCCTTCCATTTTTTTTCGATTCGCTTTCTTTTTCAGATTTCCATATTCTCCTTTTCCAGTTTTATTCTAAAATCTTCCTTCTTTTCCTTATTAAATATCGATTGCATGAATAACAGGATCAATCAAATTAAATAGCATCATCTATATTTTATTACCTAATTATCATTTCATGAAAAAAATCTCTCTAGAAAGAACAGAAAAAATTCTTAATATTACAAATTCTTACATTAACAAAAATCTTTGACAACGAACAATTATTTCAGCTCATTCTTTCAGAATGAATTGAATAATTATTAACATACTAAAGTAAGAGTATTAAATAAATTAATATCCTTACTATACATTATAAATAAACAATAATTATAAATAAAAATTAAAAGAGTTTCTATCAATATTTTACACTTTCATCGGTATGAAAATGAAGAATGATTG